ACACCTGCAACCCGATCCGATAGACCCGTTCGCTATCACCAATTTCTTATCCCAACTTGAGAAATTGGGAATATAAGAGATTTCCCTTCCCCGTCGGTTCGTTTTTTTATTTTTGTATGTACAAGATTTCTTTTGTTAATACTTTAACCTTTTGTCAATACTTTAACCTTTTATGTATACGAACAGAAGATTGTAGTTCACGTTTATTATTTCTTATTAAAATTAATTGATCAAAATTCGGCAGTGAACAGTTTTTTTTCTCCTAAACCTGACCCCGCGCCGTTCCCGGCTCCCTGAAGATCGCACTAGGTCCATCCCTGGTCAAAGAGATTCGGTTCTCTGACCTAAAACGGACCACCGAATAGCGCGGGCGCAGGTAAGAGTAATAGCGCCGCTGACGCTGACCCGATCCCTGCCCCCTCTCAACGCGCGTTCGACTCGCGGATCGGCATCACAACGTCGTTCCGCGAGAAAAGGAGAGGTTCCGTGCGTCCACCCGAGTTCTCCTCCTCCTGACGAGAACACGGACGTAACAAACCATAATTATAACTATTAACTATAATAACTGTTTTAAATTATTAATTAGAAGTTAAAAGTGAAAATTTCAAATGAAAACAATTGTTAATTAAATTAATTTTATTTTACATAATAATATAATATATATTTAACATAATAATATAATAAATATTTTTTAGATTAAAAAAAAATGTAATAGGTAGGAATCGAACCCGGTTCGACAAATTGGTATTACAGGAGCGCTCAAGCTACGCGATCTTGACGACAGTAAACTTAACGCGGCCGGTATATAAGAAATGCTATAAACTTTAAACGGATTTTTCTCGAAAATAGCTGAGTATGGCGTCCTATTCTTTTGCTCAAATACTCTTCTAGTAGAATACTTTAATATATATATATGCCTTTTCAAAATCCCAAGTCTGCGCCCTCTGCTTGTTAGATAAAGAATTGCGCCTAATTGGCCATATACAGGGTCCTTCAAAAATATGGAAATAGTTAAATAACTCATCATGGATGCATTTTAGAAAAAAAGTATTAGAAGGAGTTGTGGGGTTTCAAAAAGTTTATTTACTGATCTTATCAGTTTGATTTTGAGTGGTATTGCCAAGGTTATATAAAAGTCAACTTTGTTTTTATGGGAGACTCTCATTTTTTTGTTATACGGGTATTCAGATCATCCATACCACTCTTTTATCTTTGCAGGATAAAGTCCAATCGTAAAAATGTTCAGACAAAAGAATTAAAAAAAATCTATTTACTGATCATATCAGTTTGATCTTAAGCGGCGTCGCCAAAGTTAAATCAAAGTCACGTCGATTTTTTTAAATGGAACACCCTATTTTTAATTCCAGAATCTTAATTCCTAAATCTAGCTGATGTCGAGAGCTTTCCAAAACACTATAATAAAGTTATCTTTCATTAAGTATTTAGATTTCTGTACAACTAAACACATCCGTTATAGCTTGCTATACAACACATTAAGCTTCATGGAATATCAGAAAAAATTCCTCGCAAAACGAGACTGAGAAAAACTGATCGAAGAACTCGCATGATTCATCGATTATCTGAAACGGACAGATTCAAAACTGCTGTTGCCATTTAGTGAAATATCAGGCGATATCGATGAAAAAATATGCATTCGGACTGTCTGACGAAGACTAAACAAATTTCAACTATATGGACGCGTTGCCAAAAAGAAGCTGCTCATTTCAGAAAAAAATCGTCTAGCTAGGATTGTGTTCGCAAAAGAACATTTGAATTGAACGCCCCCAGTAATGATCCAAATAATC